GTGGCATGGAGATGCTGCGTATCCTGGGGAAGGCTGTGACATAGGGATGCCTGAGAATGTACGTGTCGATGATTGTTAGATGACCATGTAGGGCAGAGAGAACCCAGTGAAGTCTCATTCTTGCTTCCTGTAGAGTGTAGTCTTTGAACTGACTGTTATTCCAGGACTGCACTCAGCTTTGTTTCCAAAGAAACTAGCTAGTTCACTTTGGAATGAAAGCCTGAGAGTGAACTATCATACAGAGCGGGGATGATGGAGGACTGGGTTCCAGGATGGAAGATATTTGCTGGCATAGATGTACCCGATAGTATTTTACAGCTGACATTTCACCAATACTGAATCAAGTAGAATGATTACCCTCAGCATCTTACATATAACACTACTATTAACATGTCAGAATGTGGTTTGCTTTGACTTTCACTGTTGACTTTCATTTCTTTTCTACTGTAACCTCCTGGACCTCTGTCCTTGAATTTGCATTTACTCAAGTTATTCAGTCTAGTACTGGTGGATGTGATTTCCCTCTCCGGTGTGCAGCATTTTGCATAATCTTATTGGATGTTACCTTGCTGATTTTAGCCCATATCTCATGAACATTGCAGCCATTTTTAATCTCGGCCCCACTTTCTAAAGCATTTCTAATTCTGTGTTATTAATAAATATCATCAATAGATTTCATATATAAACATAGTTCATTTCATCATCAAAGTTGCTAATGAAAATGCTCTCAAAATGCTCTGATGTAGAATATAATCCTGTACCTCATTCACGTGCTTACATAGGTCCGACATGTCCTTTAGCCTCTATGCTGACAAGCCCTGAGAAAAGAGGCACCTCAGTAACGGTAGCAGTATTTAATGCTAACACTCATTATCTTATCTGAGTCACAGAATTATGTGTGAGATATAAAACTCCACAACTCTGATTGCTTTTGTATCCAAAGGAGTTGTCTGTCACTAATTGAGCTCTGCATTCATGTAACACTTAGATGTTCTAACTAACTATATGTTTCCATTCTGATCTAGAAAGAGGTGACCAAAAATGGTTTAATGATAACACATTTGTTCCTCATCTTATATTTGCAAGCACCGTGGATTTACTCTGCAGCATGTGTAGAAATCCATGGATTTATACAAAACTACCTCTGAAAGTTTTACTGTAACATGACCTACATTTCACCTTAGTCTACTTGAACGTAGCAGGTATATTTACTATCAATTTGTGAAGCAAGCAGTGTAGTATCGCTTTGTCTAGATCAGCATACTTTAATAGCCACACAGTCTATTAAATATCTTTTACAGACTCTGCATTTAATAAATGATTTCTAATTGACTAGTTGTCAGTGGCAACATTCTAGAAAACTCAGTTACATGGGATTTTTCATTGATTTTCCCTATATTAGAAAATGAAATGTCAGATACCATTAATTGCATTTTCACAATGGGAAGCATGCTGCAAAAGTAACTGCAAAGTGAAAGCACTTCCAGGCTAATGTGTGAGAGAGGTATTCTTGTTAAATGAATCCAATATATAAACATTTGTTACGGTTATGTGCCTCTATGGGCCAAGTTGATGTGAATGTAATTATAATCTATAATATGAAGCCATTTTACACATTTCTAAGGAAAAAAATGCTTCCAGGTGTATTCTGTATTCATTTATCATTATATGGTATACTATCTGCATCCAGGAACACGGCAAGTGGTTAACCCATGGTTTTTGGGAGCTCTTATCTACACAGTGCCTGAATCATTTCTGAGATCAACTTCTGCTTATTGTTAGCTGCCCATGCCTCAAAGACAGAGCTGCTAATTTATGTTATCTAACAAGTAGACCCATGTTTACCCAGGTTACATGGCAGTACTAGGTAGTGTACGATCTTGAATATAATCTATGAGACTGTGGCACACATATTCTCTATCATTGGTGCTCCCCCGTCTGAAACACATCTGTGCATCTTTTCAGCTTTCTGTGGTTACATTAGTGTTGTAAGCCTTTTGAGATCACATATGCTTTCTACAGATGTACTTATATGTCTCTTCCATGTGATCACATCTGTTGTGCCAAAATTGGCCAGCAGTCTCTACAGTCAAAGAGAAATGATACTGAGTCTGTATGTGAAAATTTATTTGATTGCGCACAGTTTACCATAGTGCAAGAAGTTCTCACGTCTTTGCAGAAAGAAAAATTCATGACCTTTCTAAAGTATGTGATGCAGCATTCAATTTTCCTGCATCTGATCGATAAGCAAGCAGGAAATTATATCTTTTGCCATGGTAGACAAGCATAATTAAGCAATAAGGCAATGGAGGTAGTTGTGATTATCTTAGGATGCACCTGGGAGCTGCCTTGTTGCTATTTTAAAGCATCTTTATGCTAAGGGAACTGTATTAATTTCTGCTGAGAAAGATAAAGTTGGCAGTTTGGAAAGCTCATGAACAGCAGTTTCAGTTGTGCTTCACAGAGAGTAATGTGGTGTGTTCACCCCAAACAATTAGGCTTCTCCTTCAACAGAAGCAAAGACAGAGCAGGCTGTAAACACTTAATTGACAGTTCGGAAACGGTAAAGAAAAACAAAACAATTATGCTTTGGCTGGTTGCCAGCAAGTGCAAAACTTACATTTTTACTAGTTTAGAATAAAAATGCATTGCCTCCAACACTTGACTTCCAAGGAAGGCATCACTGCATAATTAATGTTATTGCATCCACATTCTAATTTATGCATTTTAATTATACCAAAGGCCCAGTGAATAATTAATGTTAGCAAAACAATGTGTTGGAAGCATAAGCTGAAAAGTATCACTTTTGTAGATTTAAATAACTAATGGAAGCTATTTAACTATTTAATTACAAGAACATTTTCCACTAATACAATGAAGTATTAGCTACTATGACCAAACACCCTCACAAGCGGAGAAGTGAATTAGCTCAGGCTACTTGCATTTTGAAACAATCAATCTGAGTATATCACAGTATACTAATCTACGTGAGCCATATGTATGCAGGGAAAAAAGTTATTTGAATGTTGTGCTGTAGGAGAGACTATCATGTTGTTGGCAGCATTTGTAAGATGTAAGATATAAAAATCCAAATTCCAGGCACAAATTCCTCTTTGACCTCTTGTCTTCAAGCTGATCAGTCCATACAAGTTTCGTGGGGAGATTTAGAATTGAATATAAAAGGATACAATATGGAACTCATTATCCGTGAGTTCAGCAATCTAAAATTAAGGATGTAGTCCAGGTTAGTAATTTAGAGTCTTGCAGTGGTTGATAGATATAGCACTTCTGGAGAGAGTTTCATCTCATACTAAAATAGGTTTTTGAAGTAGATAGAATTAATCATTATCTGGCAGGGCTATTATTTTTTCTGTTTCTTATAGAGGGAGCTTCAAGTAGTTCCTTAGGTGTATGTCCTACACCTAGCTCCTAGGCAGGCTACTTTAACTGAAGTTCCCTTTACTAGCAATGCCAACTTTAAGCTACCATGTGAGGAAGACCTACTGATATCAAGCTGATGGCATGTAGATCAAGGCAAAGCTGCAGGGTTCACAGCATGGATTCCTCCAAAGATGTTGGACAGCCAACATCTCTGCTGCCTGCTCAAGTCCCAGGATGAAAACCCATGATTTCATTAAGAAAGTCCTACCCTTTCAAAAGGATCACCCACGTGGCTCTGCTCTGCCCTACATCTTTACCCCGGTGCCTGGACTATCAGAGACACTATCAGACATTATGAACCAGAAGCATCCCAGCCACATAGTGTGTCCCAACTTGGGCCTACCTTGGGTTTGCTGCAGGCTGGGTGGTGAAACCACGCACACACCAGAAAGCACTGTCTGCAGAGCATGGGAAGTCTAGTTGTTAAATGTACACATTTCTTACAGTGAATATAATGACAGAGCAAATGATGAATTACTGCAATCCTTGGCAACAGCTTGCATACACTCAAGTAATACCAACTTATCATTGCAAATATAAAATCAATCACTTTCACCAACTTTTTCAGTAATTCTTTTCCATGTCAGACAGAAGTTTGCTCTTTAACGTAAAAGATTCAAGTATAATAACAACAACGTGAAGGACTTGTAAAAAATATTAGATTGGCAAAGGCTGCTTCCAATTTGGAATAACAAGCCATTTTATCCAAGTTCATTATTTGTAGGTTAGTAACTAACAGTTCCAATGTTTTAAGCTTTCTTTGTGTACTAGGTATATCTTGAAAGCATAGTACATGTCCCTTCAGAGCAGCTCTCTATGTCATTTGAGAGACTCAGAGGGAGCAACCGTTTGCGTTTTCCCTTTCTTTCAGCTGTGTTTGCCTGACCCCAGCCCTACTCTTGCATTAGGGCACTGTGAGAGGTGTGCCAGCTCACATCAATAGTTGTGTCTGTTAGGTGACAGCTGCATTGGGCAGGGCAGTTTGTGCAGGATGATAACTCCCCTAATGTGGTTGCACGGGAAGGGACACAGCAGCATGGTGGCACTGTTCCAGGGGAAGCTCAGCTGGCCATAGCCAGCTGCTGTCTGGTCCTGCTGAATATTTGATGTGAGGTAGAAAGCAGTACACAAAAGAAGATCTGTCTTGGTAGCAGGCTAAAACTGGCTGCTTTCTTCTGAGCAATAGCATCTGAAAGAGCAGAGATGGAGCAGGGGTGCCAACTGCTGTAGCACTCAACTCATCCTCCTAGTATTTTATGTACTCCTCACTGCTCAGCTCTTCCACCCAAGATACAGGTTGTGACCCAAAGGTATTCCTCTGAACCTTAATTCTCTGTATTTTGATTACTACAGTACCTAAAGGAAGTGCTAAGGGTAATTACTCGAGTAATACAACTATTTAATTAAATCCATCTTGAGAAAAAAAGCTTTTTAGTGTGTTCTTTGATACTAAGGTGGAGCCCAGTGAGCTAGCAGTTCCAATTTCTGGCATTTTTAGCATAGATGACAAAAACAGTATGAGCTCATGATCTGTGTCTCCCTTTGCTTCTCTCTTTCAGGACTATGCTGAGAAGGAGAAAGCTGCAGCCAAGGCTCTGGAGGATGTGAAGGCTAACTTCTACTGTGAACTGTGTGACAAGCAGTACCACAAACACCAGGAATTTGACAACCACATCAATTCTTATGATCATGCTCACAAGCAGGTAAACCTGACACTTGTCTGTGTTACAGCTGCCCATCTTCTGTCTTTCCTGATTTTGGGGGATTTCTAAATTCACTAAGTAAAGGACAAGTTAGCATATGATACTAACGTGTTTTTATCAAAATCAAATGTGAAATATTTATCATTTTAGTCTTTGGTGGAATATATTTTGCCTTGCTTGCAGAAGAAAACTGGTACTCTTGAAAAAAAGATATTAGATTATTGGAAAAATACAATAGATATTATTTTTCATTTTTGAACCTACTTAATCAGGTCTGTATGTGCAGGTGTACCATAGCAATGTATACCTATTATCATTTCATGTTTGCTACCTGCATCACAGTTTTCCACTAATTTTAGCAAAACACATATTCCAGTTGACACTATGGAAGAAAAATGCAATTAATTCTTGCAAGCATTCCAGAGCTCTATAAAACTCATTTGCAAAGTTCAGGAATAAGTGAACCTCTTGTATAGCTTACCATATGTTAAGTAAAAGTGGCATGTGAGAAGTTAGAAGTGTAGCAGGTTTCCCTAAATGCACCTTATATTACTGTTTTTCTCCTTGTTCTTACACGTGTTATGCAGTTCAAGTTGTTTTGTATTTGTGCACATTGAAATTACTAGGGCATTTATGTCTTCTGGGTGATCACACCTCTGTGTACATGGAGGTCAGGAGCTTCCTTGCAAATCTATGAAGCATTTAGAAGCTGCAGGTATTTCTTCCAGAGAAGGAGAAATAAGTGCCGAGATCAACAAACAGCACTAAAGGCACAATTCCTTGCTCTCACTATAAGCAATCTTCTTGTTTTTTGTACAATTATGGAAGATGTAAATCATCCTGGCATTTTCTGTGCATGTCTATTGCAGCACTAAGCGAATGAACTGCCCACACACCACGACAAACCATCCTGCTGAATCCAACTACCCCAGGTTTTGCTGTCCATAAGCCTCTTCTGCCCACCACTCTCAAACCACAGATAGATTCACCTAACGTATTTATTTATTAAACCCAAAGCAATTCCTTACATCACACCTTGTTAATTGATCTGTAAAAATGGTTCTAATAACACAAAACATTTCCAGATCTTAAGCATGTGATTCTAATCCATATAAATCCCCATTTGCTGCACAAATAATTTTTCACCTTTCAACCAATTTTCTACTTGTCGGAGATGCATCTGAATTCAAACAAACCAATCTTCACCCCTCCCTCTTCTCTACACCCTCTGCAGTGAACAGCTTACACGAAATAAAACAGCCTACTTGATGTACCATGCACATTTGGTTTGTTGCAGCAGAGGTTTTGGAATCCTGCATTATAAAACAAAATGTTTAAGCCATTAAACTTCCTTTAATTTGTAGGTAAATTCAGTGCTTTAAAACCTGCCAGATTGATGATACTGTGAATGATACTCAGAGTCTCATGGAAATACACAACACATACAGAATATCAACTGGCAATACAAGCTCATCCCATCTGCCCTCTCAGATGTAGTTCAGCAGTTCAAGTTAGCACAGGATTAGCTAGCTATCCACCTGATGTGACAGGGTAATTCAGTCTCATCTCCCTTCTCACATCTTGACTGCTCAGCCAAGTTTTGGAACCTTGCCTGTAGGAATAAGATGAATGCATGCTGCATTTCTTCAGACTTTCATGGTTAGTCACAGAAAAACCTATATTATTCTTAGTTTATCAAGATAGTTTTCTGAGATAAATTAATTTTAGTTATCTTAACTTCAAAACGTTTGTTCTGGGAAGCGTAGTAGCCACCAGAAATATTCTGTTCCCTTTTCTGTTTCCCAGCAAAAATTCGAGTGTACCATTAGTTGTCCACATGGATATGTTCTGAGCAAAATCTTTCTAATGGAGATTAGATAAAATGAGAGACTCTTTATAGCTCAGTAACAATATTGTATAGTCCCATCCCCCTTTGTGATTTCCCTTCTAAATGCTGCTACTTAGAGATCTGTATTAAACTGACAATGCTGGTTAGAGAAGAAATAAAGACAAAAAAGGATACTGCACTATGAGCACTTGTCATAAGACTTTTGTTTCCCTTCCAGAAGAAATAGATTTTATTCAAAGACTTATGATTTTAATCTCCCAGCGTTATGGTTTTATTAGATTAATTTTGTGATTCATTTTTTTTAAGCTATGACTGCAACCAGTTCTACAGCAGAAAATACTGAATTTTGTACCTTTCATTTGGTATAACAGCCATTGCCTTCCCTGGCCTCAGAGGACTGGAGAACATTAAATCAGTTTCACCTTGTTTGTGCGGCCAGGCTTCTGTTGGGTTACATTATTCTCAAGCAATACTCTCAGATACTTTCTTCCTCTACACACTGCTTACATGCAAATATATGCAAATACAGTGTATGTATATGCAAATATATACACACGTATACAGAAAATTTCTGAATCAAGAGTACTTCAAGATCATCTGTGCCTCTATTTTCATTGTCTCCTAGCACTAAAATGATCCTGGAGAGGTATAATATGATTTAAATGTAATTTATTACTTTTGACTGAGTATTAAACAACTCTTATTTCTTTGACTGTCTTGACAGCATTAGTCTTAGATAGTGTTGTCAGCATCTTTCCTTCTGTACTACTCTGTAATCATTACTCATAGATATTACCTATTATTGGAAAATAATTTCTCTCAGTGCAAGGCTAGATAAAGTGATCTCTGAATCTCTATGTAAGTGGAAGCCTGCACTCCACCCAGCTTTACCTGAGCTCTCTATTGTTAAGCCCAATGCTTTCCAAAAACTGGGGAAAGAATGAGGGTGCTCTCAAGAGCACCTCTCCGCTCATCAGAAAACAGGGCTGTGCATGCATGACTCGCTAGCCCTGCACATAAATAGCTTTCTTTTATGAAATATATTACTTTATGAACTCCTGAGCAGCAGTCATGGGCAGTTGCACATTCGGTAAATCTGCAATGTCTTTTCATTCAAGCACCATAGCACCTGCAATGCTCACTTGCTCATGTTGTTCTCCCCAAGAGAAGTTGGCTGCATCAGAACTGATTACCTTGGCTGTATATAAGCTCCCTGAACACAGGAAAAGACAATAGTCCTGGTGTGAATTAGCTCAAAAGTTATTACGATGTAGATGTTCAATGTAGGCTGCTTCTTGTAAATACAATACCATATGTGTAACTTTATGTTACACACGGAGCAACAAATAATAAGTCACTGCAGATTTTTTTTTTTTGAAATACAGTTGTTAAGTCGCTTGATTCTGTAAAAGACGACCAAACTTGAGCAGAGATATCTATTTGGTTAATGTTATTAAATACAATCTCTTAGTACCCTCAGGTCATTCATAGCATTCATTCATTCACTTAATGTCAAAGTACTGGGAGCTTTCCATTTTTGTAAAAATAATCCTCAGTAATCAGCAATGACTTCTGATATCAGCAAAGGAGAAAGTCACATCTGTTCTGTGTACTGCAATAAAATAATTATGATAATAATAACAGTAAAAATGAGCAAAGAAAAACAAGGCTGTATTGCCATCTTGGGGTTTCTCATGACAAAACAGGTCTCTTAGTTTGTTGTTAAAGTTTAGACATATAGCTAATCACATTCGCATGTATGGAAAAAAAATCTGAATTTTACAGTACTGTGAAGTAAATGAACAGAAGTTAAAGCCCTCACATGCACATATCTTTATCTTAGTACTTAAATCTGTGCATACTGGCACTTGGGTGAATTTTTTGCATGAAAGTCTGATTTAGTGCGCACAGCTGTAGGCACTTGCCAGTAAGCCTTTATTGTGCTCGTGGATTTAAACTCTAATTCAGACAGAGATTTAGCTACTGTTAACTTCAAAGCTAGTAAATATGCTTACATTTTAGCTAGCCTTGTCCCTAACACCTAGAAAATGCACAGATAAGTAAACATAGAGAAAGCTCCAGGAATTAGTGTAATACTGTGATTTTGTTCATTCATCTTTAGGGTGTTGTTTTTCCTCCCAGGATGTGTATGTTTATTGAGGAAAGTCTCATATTTTGGCTCTTGGATACACATCTCTCATTACCCAAACAGTTTCCACCTGGAGCAAAGATTGCTTTGGAAGTAGCTCAGAGTTTTCACCTTGGGATCTGGGAGCAAAGGCAAACACAGCAACATCCATAAATCTTTTTTCAGACAAAGTACCATGTATTTAGTTGTCAGAATATACAAACCAGAAGAGAAAGATCCGCCTCCATGAAAGTATATGAGAATGTGTGTATGCGTAATCTCTGCTTTTTTCCCTTGAGATATAGGTGGGCCAATTGTTTCAAGACCAGATCGTGTATCTGAAGCCTGCTCTCTCCATGTTCCCCTCAGAAAATAACCTCTAAATTTACAACAACAAGAAAACCAATCAGCTTAGATTGATGCTTGTTAAGAAATGCATGTATATTTTAAGTTAGATGTTCACATTTTTCACAGCACTCTTAAGAAAGACAGAACCATATTTGCATTAAGAGGTGATCTGGAGAGAGCAAGAGAAAAAAAGAGATAAGAGATATGATGTTAGCTTCATTCAGCTAGTATATATAAGTATATAAGTAAACTTGAAGTGAGAAAGGGATTTTGTATATATGGTAGTTTCTGTCTTCCTTTTCTTAAGTACCAGCAAATTGCTGTGATCAAGAGGAACCATCACAAACAAGTGATTTTGTGTGTGCAATTTAGAGAGTGTAAAATTGGGCCCAGTCCTGGAAATAACAGTGAATATTCTTAGCCATATGCCTGTAAACAGCCTCACAAAATTAAACAAAACCATTCCAAAGCATAAGATGAAGCAAATGTAGATGCCTTATGAGAGAGGTTTTAGAGATGAAAGTTATGATTTCTTTTTTCCATCTCCAGAACATTCACCATAAGTATCGCAGATGCTTCTGAAATCAAATGCTGAAGGTATGATTCAATATGATCAATAGTTGTTCAGATTTTCCCACACTTTATTCTCTAATTTCTGTGAAATACCAATTTATA